CCTTTACAAACCTGCAGAAAACTCATTGAGTACTCTGCCAAAAGGGCTGCCTCATTCCCCTGCTCGTTGGGCTCTGAGGGTTCCGAAGAGGGAAACTGGATAACTAGGGTGCGCGTTTCTGCACTGGTTAAGCACTACAGACGCAAATGGCTAGCCGCATACAGCTCGTAGCGCACACGCACACAGCACTGCGATTTGTTGTTTATAGCTAAGGCTAATCTGCATTCGCTCCGGCATGCGAACAGTGTGGTGGCCTGAGATTAACTGAAACAGAATCCAGCTAAGAAACGTTTGAGCTCCCTCTACTGCACCAGTCAGACCTAACTGACTAGTCGGTTTGTCGTATCTCTTACTCATTGCGGAGTAGCGTTTGCTCCCAACGCCTTGACACAGGGATGCATGCATATGTACAAGATGCTCAGTCTGTGCCCTAGAGAGAGGGGGCCGTTCGGGCAGCAAAGGTGCAAATCATTCGTAGTACAACTCTTCGGACATTTGTACTCTCCGAGTATCAGCGTCCTCTCTTCTTCCTTAACGGTGCTGGTGACGAAGCGGTTCCTGTTCTCTCTCAACGTCCAAGGCTTTTCCAAGACACCAAATTTCCTCTTGATATAACCATCCCTTCACAAAAAACAAGCTGCGATATCTACGTCGGGCAAAAGAGTCCTATGCGGTGTGCTAAAGTGTGCAAAACTGCCGTTTGGACTTCTATGGGTGTTGCTTTGTTGGTTGCAACTTGCACAGGGTCGCCCACCCTTTAGATTTCTAGAGTTTTTCTTCCTTGAACGTCTTCTGTAGTATGCGTTTACATCAAAATATGTAAAATATATATCAAACGTAGTCGCTGACGCGCTACCGCGACGCCCCAGCGATCCACTACTGTAGTGCAATCGCAATTATCTAAGGATTCAAGGTTTCTGTCGAAATATCATGAATCTTGTGATTTTTAAACTCATGCCTCCGCTACTACTGCAAAAATCCAAATTTCTCAAAGAGTGCAAAATTACAACGCCACGGCTGACCTGCTCTGGCTCAAAACCAATCGGGAACTCGGTTTCTCGCACATTTGAATATATCTAAGCAGTGCCGTTTAGCGAAGAGCACAGGATCGAGATTCTAATGCCATGGTAGGATTTCACTTACAATGTGAAAACTTTCACGTTCCCTTTGACGGCCTGTGATGCACCTTGCCGGAGAGGCCTATTCAGCGTCCTGCCCAAATTTCCAACAGCTACCGTCGCACGATTCTCCTAGAGCGGGCATATTGCACAGCCTTCTGATTCCTAAAAGGATTTGAACGAAATTGACTATGGACTCGATTGTTGCATTGTCGGAGCTCAAATGCGTCAAGACAACAATTACGCCGTTGTGGACGGATTCAGCGAACATGCCAATTTCTTTGCTTGACCTAACTCTCTCGTGTCTCAAAATGTCACACAAGAAGTCTTGAATAACGTCTGGGAGCTCCACGGAGTACCCAGGAGAATCGTTATGGATGACGATCTCAAGTCCGTTCGTGCGTTCTGGCGTATTTTAATGACCCACCAACACATTGACTATAAAATAAAAGCTGAGAACCGCTTTGAGGTAGATACATAGGCAGAGAGCACCACCCGAATTTCCCTGTACTATTTGCTACTCTATACAAAAAATGACATTGCGTTGCTTGAGTTCCTTACTTATGCTGAATTGGTCTTAACTGCACTAGTGCACTCATCTACCCCTTGCTCTCCTGCATCCCTGGTGTACATCAAGGAGCTCAACTCTAATCGGGGTCTCTACCTGATGGTCCGAAATCAGCAGCCAATTTTAGCGGCTGAGGAGTCTAAAGAACAGATGGCTAGCGCACGCATATGTATATGTACAGGTCGAGAGAGGAACGTATATAATGATGTACAACGATGTGTTGAGGTCGGCTGTATAATTTGAGCCTGCAGAATCGGTTCTGCTAGATCAACAGCCTGTATGAGATGCAACATATGGCGTCGAGACGAAGTAGTCCGCGGCCAGTGTGGTGGAACCATCTACCATCATTGCGCTAACAATGCTCCTTTTTACTCTACTGATATGCCTAAACGTTGGAGATTCTACGGAGCAATAAACACGGGCTTCCTAAAAAAGTTTTCAAACACTCTTCGAATTGTGCGTGGGCTTTGCCACGCAGGCAAATGACTCGCTTGGAGGCCGAGGCTTCACAATATGCCGTAGGGGTGCTGGATTCTAGGACTATTGGGCACCAGGAACACACTGAACAGAAGTTTCTAGCGATATGGGATAGACAACACCAGCCAAAGTGTTTGACAGAGGAGCACATGCGAGATTCGCTACTTCTGAGAGAATTTGCGGCTCTGTTTTTAGAGATCGTTAGTAGCCATAGACGATACTCCAGATGTGCCTCGGTAATTTTCCTTCCTAGCGCATGGTCTGCCTGAAAAAGCCACCTATTCCAACGAATAGTGCTTGAAAGGTTTTTAATGACTATTGGTAAGCCATTCGCTACACTCCCAGTCTTGCACAGGCACTCTCAGGTCTCTGGACTCCGTGTTATCTATTTCGCTTCTTTTGGGTTTCTGAAGTAGACTAGCCCTGTATGCGCAAGTAGATATTTCTCTGCAACGGTAGGACACAGTGGTAAGCATGTGTACCCCAGAATTCTCGCTCCATACATATTTTTGTTTTCTGTTTCATCGTAGCAGAAGACTTGCAGATTTCAGCGCCCCAACTCCGCAGATATGTCGCTGTGGGCGTGTTGGCTTAAACCCTTGTTTGCCTTTGACTGGTGTGCGTGTTTTTCCTCCACTTTATTTTTATCTATGGGCTGATACCTACTTTGTTTACTTGTTTTCACGGCTTATCGTGTTTCTGCCCAATAACCCGTGGGTAACGCGATGATGACGCCAATTGCACTGTTGATTCTGTGATTATCGGCCTTCTGGGCTCTCTTGATGACACTGCTTCCGATACAACAAGAAACAAGGACGTGGGCGTCTGCGGTGGATGGAATGTATGCGGACTTGGAGTGCATGGAGGGTGGAGCAATGCATCTCTAAAATGTCCCCTACACCTCATGCCGGAAATTGTGAGGGGCGTGAGCAGGAAAAGGCAAAAGCTGTGCTGGGAATACTATGTTTAGTGTCTCCGTAATGGGACGTTTAACTTTAGGACAAACGTAGGCTTACTAAAAATCCGTGAGTTTTCTGCCGCAAGAGCCGTCTTTGCCTCGTGACCTCATCCCTCAAGATTCCACAAGAAGAAGAAAGGGTCACTTAGACTGCAGGTTGCTGCATTTTACGCCCTCTAGGCACATCGGGCATTAACAGGTTGTTACACTCCAGCATCTGGCGCATACGCACACAGCATTGACTCTTGGCGTCTGGAGCAGACCTTGCTCGGAAGCGATGACGATATTCGATCAATCAAACCAAGCAGTAGCCATCAGTCCGTTAGTTCTTATGTAGGTATACATACTAAGCTAGAATGCACTTGGGTGTATCTGAGCGGGCATCCACCCCCACCAACCCGGCAGCTCAAGCCCCACTGTATGCCCTCGTGAATGTGGAAAGTGGAGTCGTAGAACAGTAGCTGATGCAGCCAAATGCCTAGTGACTGGCTGCATGAGCGTTGCTCCGCGTTTGGCTTCTGCGCTTAAAGCTGCAGTGTACGTACAGCGAAAGCACAGTCTGGGATAAATAATGGTGCTCTGTTTTGGCGAACGCACTTTGCAGCGCCCTTTCGCGGTTTGCATAAGTGCTCAACTACTACAATAAGGGGCTTCTAGTAGAAAATATCACCAGAGGATTGATTTCGGATGTGTTTCCAGGTGGAATGTGCTGCGGGACTGGCCCCCGCAGTCGGCAGCAGCACGGGTAGTGTCCTAGCCTGTGCACCTTTTAATAGAGGACTCGTCTTTGTTCAATAGGGCTTTCCTGCACCCTAGAAAATGCTATGCAAGTGGCTTAGAGTGGAGCAACGACGCTAACTGGTATTTCAAAAGGTTTTGCGCTGCTGCTGCTGTAACTGCTGTTGACTCAAGAGCAGCGTCCGCGCGAGCAGCAAGGCAGCCGACATCGTACACGTTACAATAGGCCGTTTCCTTTATTCGTTACGAGCTGGCAGATAAGAAGTCAGTACCTCTAAGAGGCATTCGTTGCATTATAGCGACTCATATACGAGCAAAATTAGAGGCAACCCCTCCATAAGTCTCGCATTATTCCACAGACAGACGTACGCAGACCCTGGAGTCGCAGGGTCACCTTACTCTCCCTGGCGGATGGCCAGCTATCCACCTGCCCTTTTTCTTCCGCGCGTTTTTGAGTTTTATTTGTTCCCTTTTCATTGAATTCGGAGTTTTGAGTCATCAGCAGCCGCCCCTCCTTCCTGCGCTTCCCTACGAGGCACTCCTCTGTGGAGCAGTGCCTCGCCGTGCAGCAGCCAGCAGGGGCCCTCTCCACAGGTTGCCCTCCATGGCATCCCAAGCGCACCCCAGTTATATCGAATTTCGAAGGGTGCTCTTTCTGAGGCACCCATTCACCACATTGCGTGGAAGCCTCCCTCAACCTACCCACCCCTGCTGGCAGGTGGGCACCCCCCGCTGCCAATTCATTGTATAGGGGCCAAGGGGGCCCTCCGGAGGGCCCCTCAGTCGACGCCTATCAAAAGCGCCTCCACAAACACGAGTGCTACTCCGCAGGAGCGGCAGCAGATGCCCGCTGCAAGAGTCTCCCCTTCCACCTGACCCCCCTGCCCCCCGTCCCACCCATCCCACCACGAAGCGTTCGGAGGCAGCAGAACCGACTCTAGAATAGAGCCAATGCTCCGACAAGGGTGCCGCACCATCTATCTGCTCTTGCAAAGCCGAGAAATCCTCAGCCCCCTTCACTCGTCACACGCGCCACTGCCAGGGGGAGCCCTCTCTACCTAGGCAGCACACGCAGAAAGGACACACAAGGCGTCGCCATACGCACATACACTCACACACGCGACGGCAACAAAAATCTGGCATGTGGACTTTTCAGCAGCAACCTTCACTGACGCTGCAGGAGCAGCGGGAGCTCGTGCTGCAACAGCAACAGCAGCAACAACAGCAACAACTGCTGCAGAGGCACCAGCAGCAAGGCTATGGAGGCGTCGTCAGTCTTGCGCCTGGACGCCTTATTCAGCATCCCGCCCCCCTCGACTCCACCAAATTGCTGCATCATGCCCCCCAGTCGCTTACCAACAGCAGCGTGGCTTTGGCATCCAGGCAAACCTCATGCGGTCCAAGCCGCTCAGTGAGCAGCAGCGAAGACATCAGCAGACAAAACAGCAGCGCCAACACCACTGCTGGCTTCTCTCTCGCGCAGGAACGCGATTTCCGACAAAATGGAAACATCAACAGCAGCAGCAACATGGGGCCTCCCTATCTCGAGGCTTCACACCCCCATGCTGAATCTTTTGCTGCCCAGTTGCTCCCTGACACAGCTGCAGCGGCAGGAGGTGGAGTCTCCGCTGGCACCGTTCTCTCTGGGGAGTCGAATCCGCTGCCTCCCGATGAGTTGATTTCCGGTTCAACCCCTGCTCCTCAGCCCGAGGAGGGGGCCCCCCCCCCCCACGCGGGAGGGGGCCTCTCTACAGGCTTCCTAGGGGCCCCCCAGGGAGGCGCCTATCTGCGGTTCAAGGGCAGAAGCAAATCCTGCTTCTCCGTTGCGGAGGAAGGCGAAGTGCCTCCAGGCGATCTGCGTCGAGTCAGATTTTCGCTCATCGAAGGGTCAGCAATGTCATCGCCAGCAGCAGCAGCAGCAGCAGCAGCAGCAGCAGCTGGACACGCCACGCAGGGGCCCCTCTTTCCGAGTACTTTGCAGCGACGCATGAGCGACGGCGGCACTGCAGGCGGAAGAGGCCTCTCCGGCTTAGCAGCGGCAACAGCAGCAACAGCAGCAACAGCAGCAGCTGCTGCTGCTGCTGCAGGAGGAGGGGGGGCAGCAGCCTCTGCGACAGCAGCAAACGGCACAAACTCTCAGGGTGTGAGCGGCCTGCTCACTCTAAGCCTCGAGGCTACAACTCTAGGAGCTTCCGGAGCTGCGCAACCTACCGACGTCTTTAGCCGCATGGAGATCGCAGCCGTTCCAGAAGGTGTTTAAAAATAAGGCCGCCCTAAAAGAGATCCCTACACACAGACACAGACACACAGACACACAGAGAGAGAGAGAGAGAGACAGAGACTCTAGACACGCAAACTCGCCCTCCTCTCGCAGCGAGGGAGGACAGACAGACACTTAGGACGGCACAGTCTGTCTGCTGCATCGACAATTAGAAGCAGAAGCCACTCCAGGGGCAGCCGGCTCTAGAGAGCAGTGCAGCAGCAGCAGCAGACAAAAAGTAGATTCCTTTTAAACTGCCTCCTGTGGGAAACAGACACCTGCTTTCTAGAGCCCCTCGCCACCTGCGAGCTCCAGCTGCTCGTCTGCTGTATGTACACCTCGTGCTTCTTCTGCACTCAGGCGGAGTAAGCACAGCCGTCGGAACGCATGTTCAAATGCCTTTGCAAGAAGTCTTACAGCAGCCGCAGACGGAGTCTGCTCGCGCAGCGGAGGCTGCAGCGGAGGCTGCAGCGGAGGAAGCAACTGCTGCCGCTGCAGATGCAGCTGCCGCTGCTGCTGCTGCCGCAGTTGCAGCTGCGAAATCTGCGTCGAATGAGGCCGAAGCAGCGGCTTTGGAGGCACTGGCAGCTGCGAAGGAGGTAGCAGTAGCCGCGGCTAAAGCCCCCCAGGTTACTCCCAGCGGTTTAATTGCCCCCCCCCCCTGTGTCTCTTCAACGCATCGAACCCCCCACCCACCCAATCACCACCTTCTCTGCCACCACGGTACGTTTGCAACAGGCAGACTTGGTGCCTTGAGGCTCATGCTTCCTCGAAAGGGAGAGACAGAGAGAGAGACAGAGAGAGAGACAGAGAGATCCGTCTTACAGCCTCGTGCCTTGCGCTGCCTTCCCTGTTGAAAGAGAGGCGACCTCGAGCTGCATGCCCTCCCCCCTTCCCCCTCGCATGCATGTGCTCTGTGCTGTATATGTATGTATATATGTATATGTATGTGCATTCTGCTGCATGCATGTGCTCTGTGCTGTATATGTGTGTATGTATGTATATGTGTGTATGTATGGGCATTCTGCTGCATGCATGTGCTCTGTGCTGTATATGTGTGTATATATGTATATGTATGTACATTCTGCTGCATGCATGTGCTCTGTGCTGTATATGTATGTATATATGTATATGTGTGTATGTATGGGCATTCTGCTGCATGCATGTGCTCTGTGCTGTATATGTGTGTATGTATGTATATGTGTGTATGTATGGGCATTCTGCTGCATGCATGTGCTCTGTGCTGTATATGTATGTATATATGTATATGTATGTGCATTCTGCTGCATGCATGTGCTCTGTGCTGTATATGTATGTATATATGTATATGTGTGTATGTATGGGCATTCTGCTGCATGCATGTGCTCTGTGCTGTATATGTGTGTATGTATGTATATGTATGTGCATTCTGCTGCATGCATGTGCTCTGTGCTGTATATGTGTATATGTATGTATATGTATGCATATATGTATGTGCATTCTGCTGCATGCATGTGCTCTGTGCTGTATATGCGTGTATGTATGTATATGTGTGTATGTATGTGCATTCTGCTGCATGCATGTGCTCTGTGCTGTATATGTATGTATATATGTATATGTATGCATATGTATGTGCATTCTGCTGCATGCATGTGCTCTGTGCTGTATATGTGTGTATGTATGTATATGTATGTACATTCTGCTGCATGCATGTGCTCTGTGCTGTATATGTATGTATATATGTATATGTATGTGCATTCTGCTGCATGCATGTGCTCTGTGCTGTATATGTGTGTATGTATGTATGTATATGTATGTGCATTCTGCTGCATGCATGTGCTCTGTGCTGTATATGTGTATATGTATGTATATATGTATATGTATGTGCATTCTGCTGCATGCATGTGCTCTGTGCTGTATATGTGTGTATGTATGTATATGTATGTGCATTCTGCTGCATGCATGTGCTCTGTGCTGTATATGTGTGTATATATGTATATGTATGTACATTCTGCTGCATGCATGTGCTCTGTGCTGTATATGTATGTATATATGTATATGTATGCATATGTATGTGCATTCTGCTGCATGCATGTGCTCTGTGCTGTATATGTATGTATATATGCATATGTATGCATATATGTATGTGCATTCTGCTGCATGCATGTGCTCTGTGCTGTATATGTGTGTATGTATGTATATGTGTGTATGTATGGGCATTCTGCTGCACGCATGTGCTCTGTGCTGTATATATGTGTATATGTATGTGTATATGCATATGTATGTGCATTCTGCTGCATGCATGTGCTCTGTGCTGTATATGTGTATATGTATGTGTGTATGCATATGTATGTGCATTCTGCTGCATGCATGTGCTCTGTGCTGTATATGTGTGTATGTATGTATATATGCATATGTATGTGCATTCTGCTGCATGCATGTGCTCTGTGCTGTATATGTGTGTATGTATATATGTGTATGTATGTGCATTCTGCTGCATGCATGTGCTCTGTGCTGTATATGTGTGTATGTATGTACATATGTATATGTATGTGCATTCTGCTGCATGCATGTGCTCTGTGCTGTATATGTGTGTATGTATGCATATGTGCGTATGTATGTGCATTCTGCCTGCCGTCTTGTCAGGACCGTCCAAGCCGCACGGAAGTCAGACTGCTTGCCGAGACGCTGTTGCAGCGGCAGACGCTGCGGAGATCGATGGAGGAGCACACCTCAGCAGCAGACGCGAGTGGAGAGGTTTGTCTTCCCCCGAGTTGGGGGGAGGCTGCTCTGCAGAGGGCCCCCCCCGCATGCTTGCAGCCAATAAGGCAGAGGGAGATTCTCTGACTTCCTCCAATCCCCGACACCGCAGAAGCAGCAGCATCGGACAGCAGCAGCAGCAGCAGCAGCAGCAGCAGCAGCAGCACTCTGCACATTCCACTTTGTCTGCTTTTGCACGAGCCTTCCGACCAAGCGTCCAGCGCCTCATGGGAAATCGCCTTTCTCGCCACAGCTTTTTTTCCTGCTCCTCCTCTGGAGCTGCTGCTGCTGCTGCTTCTGCCGCGGCAACTGAGAGTAATGCTGCTGCTGCTGCTGCTGCTTCCGGCGCTGCAGCAGATGACGCACTGCTGCGGAAGGAGGCAGAGGCAGCAGCAGCACCCGCCGCCGCTGCTGCTTCTGAGGCATTCATATGGCAGCAACAGCAGCAGCAGAGAGACGCAGCAGACACAGCCAGCGGTCGTCCTCTCATCACAGCTCAGGATCACTGCAGGGGATTCGAGGCAGAGGAGCAGCAGTCGTATTACTTCTCGCGTGCCCAGCAGCAGCAGCAGAAGCAGCACCAGAAGCAGCATCAATCTCTCCAGGAGGCTGCGGCAGCTCCGCTCAAGGGAGAATGCAGAAAGGCGTTTCTTCCACCCACTGCGGCTGCGGCAGCAGCAGAGAATGTGCAGCAGCCTCCAGGGAAGCATCAAAGCCTCTTTGCGTTTAGCCACAGACTTCTGCACCCGACAGAGAGGGCTGGAGAGCTTAGCAAGCGGCAGCCGCAGCATTTCCAGCAGCAGCATGCGCATGAGCAAGGTTTGTGTAATGAGATGATCTCAGGTTTAGGGAAGCGCAGTGGATGCTCAGCAACGGCTGCAGCTGTACATACCGGTTCTGTCTTGCGTTCACGAGGGGCCTCCTTTCAGCATCTGCAGCAGCAGCAGCAGCTGCACACTCAGAAGGGTTTTTCTGCGGAGAGTAGCTACCCGCACGCTCAGCAAGTGCAGCAGGTGCCGTTGCAGCATCCCCAACAAGTGCAGCAGCAAGTGCAGCAGTTGCCGTTGCATGCTCAGCAGCAAGTGCCGCAATACGACATCCAGTTTGGAGGCCTCTTGGTGCGTCTCCTGAGGAAGTTGAGCGCAAAGTGTCACTGCCAGTTCGACGTGTGGGAAGCGGAAGCCGTGGGAGTTGCGGATGCAGCGTCTGCTGCGGCTGTGGAGGCTGCAGCAGCAGCTCCCGGCTCTGAAGGAGCAGTCCTCACCACAGCAGGAGGGAGAGGGGGAGCTAGCGAGTTGGCAGCGGGGAAAGCGGAGGAGGAGGCAGTGGTGTCGGATGGGAAGACGTTGGGTGCCTTGCACATGCATCTGTTGGGCTTGCACCGCAAGTTTGCCATCAAGCTGCTGGAGGTGGATAGGACTGAAGCCAGCAGGCTGAAGTATAGGACGCACAGCGTTTTGCAGGAGGGGCTGCAGCTGCGAGACTTGTGCGAGCAGCTGTGGAACGCTCGCGCTGCTGCTGCAGCGAGTGGCGGGGGGAGGTTTCTTCTCACGACTCAGCAGAAGCTGCTCTTGCTGCAGCTTCAGCAGGAGCCGTTGCAGCAGCATCCGGAGCTGCTGCTGCAGCAGCTGGATCCTCAGATCCTGCCGCAAAGGGCCTTGCCGGTGCCGCGCTACTTCTGGACGGCTCGGGGAGTAACGACTGAGGGCTGTCGCGTGTTGGGAGTCGGGATGGAGAGGATCGAGGGCCGTACTTTGACGCAGGTGTTGCAGCAAATGCGCATTCCTTCGCGAGCGTCTTCGGCGCTGCTGATTCTGGAGATCTGCATCAAGTTCGTCCGCAGCCAGAAGGTTCTTGCATGCGACCTCAAACGGCCTCTGATAAACTGGGATACGAAGCCAGGGAACGTGCTCGTGGAGCTGACGCGTTCCGCCACTTCCCTGCACTGTCTCCGGTGCGTCATCATCGACTTGGGAGACGCATTGCCAGGGCCCTCTTTCTTGTTTCCGACGAGGCACCAGCCTGGCATTTCGCCGTCTTACGTGATTTGCACGAAGGGCAGCTGCAGTCCGGAGTGCGCAATCCTCGTGTTTCTGCTTGCCAGCGGCAGCAAGAGCGAGTCTTTTCGGAAGACGTGGTACGGAGAAGTGGATCTGCAGCGGATGATCGCTGCGAAGCGCGAGCGTCTGCAGCACCGCTGGCAGCGCCTTCAGCAGCTCGGAGTCTTGCGACGAAAAGTTCACCTCTCGAGACAGCCGCCAGGCGCAGACGGCCAGATGAGGCCTCCCCTAGAGAGGGGATTCTGGGAAGTCGAGTTTACGGAGGGGAGCGTCGTTTTTTCCACGGGATTGGTTCTCGCGCAGCTCATGGGTGGACCCAATCTGATCCACGTCGTTAACAGGAACGAAGTGCTCGTGCTCGACATGCTCTGCGAGTGGGGTTTCGAAGGCAGCACCAACCTTTTCAGCCAAAAGCCGAACCTTGGGCCCAACTGTCTCCTGCCGCAGTCAGGCGTGTTCTCGCAAGAGCCGTGGCTGTCGCTCGTGAGGCAGATGCTCCACAACACCCTCGCCTTCTGCCCTACGGACCGATGGAGCTTCGCCGCCCTCGAAAGATTCTTGGTGAGCTTCCACAGAGCCTTCAAGGAGTACTGCAGCGGCGACGAAGTGGCCGCTAACAACACGCTGCAGCTCCTCGCGCAGAGGACGGAGAACAAGGCCCCCCTCACTCTGAAACAGCCGCAAGCTGCGGTGCGCCTCTGAACCCGCAGACAACGCGACAACAAACGCAGAGAGAGGAGCTGAAGCAATACGTCCCACAGAAAGTGCCTTCCCGCCATGGCAGCCAAAAGTGCCCCCACGCGTTGCCCTCCCTCTCCTGTGAGAGGAGGCAACAAAGCGGCAGGCAGAGAAGAGAGCGCAAAGGCAGCAGCAAAGCCTCCAGATCGTCAACCTGATATCCGAAGGCAAAGGCCTCAGAGCAACGCATACACACAGAAAGAAAGAAAGAAAGAGGGAAAGAGAGAGGGAAGGGGAAAGGGAAAGAGAGAGGGGAAGGGAAAGGAAGAAAGAGGGAAAGGGAAAGAAAGAAAGAGAGAAAGGGAAAGAAAGAAAGAGGGAAAGAGAAAAAGAGAGAGAGAAAGAAAGAGAAAAAGAGAGAGAGAGAGAGACAAGGACGAGGAGATCATATAAGACCCTCCCTGAAGCCGCTTCAGAGGCAACAGGTTCGCATCGTAGTACAGGGGGGTGAACGGCAGCGGCAGCACTGCTTGCACGAGGAAGCTCAGCAGACAGAACGGAGCGACGACTGCAGCGGGGAGAAATCAGAGCGCCGGCTCCTCCACTAGGGAGCAGCAGCTTTAGCAGCGAGGAGGCGAGAGAAGAAAATCCGATAGAGTATAGACGGACTAGAAGTTTTCGCGCAAAGGCTTTTTGTAGAGCTGTTTGACAGTTGAGAGGAGACAGGGGGGCAGCAAGGCAGAAAAAGGGGAGACAGGCACATCCCAGCAGGCCTTAGGGCCTCTAAGAGGGCCCCTCATGGCCAAACCAGGAGTACTCCCACCAAATTACTCACGGGGAGACAGAGAAAGGAGGGGCCCCTAGGAGCTGTAGAGCACAAAGAATGTGCCAAAGGGCAAAAACGAATCCACCAGCTTTCGGGCAGTCTCTTTTCGTTAGGGCCGCACGCCTTCGGCATGCCACAAAAAACCCTACTGCCTGAAGGCTAAACTTAATCTTAAGTCTGTGTACTAGTGATGGCAACCTAGGCCGCTTCCAGAGCACCATGCATGCGCTCGACGTGGCGGCTCAGCACGCCACACCAGCGTCTAGAGAGCGTTTTGTTTCATTGAGCGGCGAGAAAGCGGAAGCCGCTTCAGGTCCAGGTGTACCTTAGGGGCCCCCCTTCATGCGAATAGATTGCTATGGCCTTTCTGATGCTGCACTTCAAAGGGCCCCCTATTCCCCCTCCTTCCCCATTGCACGGCTACAGACGCTGGCTCTGTAAGGTAGGGGAGGGGCCTCTTGGGGGCGAGTCAAGGAAGTCGCATCCAAAAAAGAGGTTGCCTCAAACACTTCTGGGCGGCTCTAAATGCGCCAAGTGTCTGTTAACAGAGCCACAGGAGTTGCGGCAGCCGAAAAACTGGCTAGAAAACTCGGGTGGCTCAAAAAGCCGCCAGCTAGCTAGCTAGCTGACGAAGCTAGCTGTGCGCGCACCCGCCTGACAGCCTACACCGCCCCCGCAGTCAAGGCGAGAGCAGCAGCAGCACTTGCCCCCTCTTTCCCCTCCCGCGCAGAAATGTAGGAGAAGGAGGGCCCCAAACCTACTGCGCTCTTCCCTGTAGAGCCCTCTCGCAAAATACCCCTTGCCTCAGAACTGAAGAGCGAGCACATCCAACAACAGCAAATCGAGAGGGGCCCCCAAAAGCCCAGAAAGGTTTGGCTGCGTCCTTCCCAAATCCCCGTGTACAAACTCCTTTATATACGTTCCTGAACAAGCGAAAAAACCTTTTCAACACCGTCTGAAGGTTCTAATAATCACACAACTGGGCAGATGGAGAGAAGCGCGAATCAGAAGTTTGAGCACGCCATCTCTGCCTCGAGCTGTTGACTGCGCTTCTTTTCCTGCCTCTCGCTTTCCCTGCATCGGCTGCTGCCTGGCGATCGGTTGTTGGTGTCTCGTGCGAGCGTGTTGCCAGCCCCCTCTCTCTCTCCCCTCTGCTAGACTTCTGTCTTACCCCACTGCAAGCCGGCTCCCCTCCCCTCCCCCCGCAACACCCCACGCTGACTGCCAGCCTCCCGCTTACCAGCTTGCGTGTGAAGACGGCAAATGAATAAGTGAGGCTCCAAGAACTTGAAGCTCAGAGCTTTAATCTGCCGTTGCCTGCAGTCACGCAGTCAGGCAGACAGTCAGATGCCACACCCTGTTGACGCAAACGGAGGCGAGCGCAGCCACTCCCCCTACAAACTACCCCCCTCCAAGCAGGGGCCCCTGCAGAAGGGCCCCCTTGCTGGAGCTGCAACAACGCGGCACGCGCCTCAATAGACGCCTCTTCGTCTTACCGCGCGGCTAACGACCGGCGATGCAAAACGCGCAAAGGCGTCTTCTGCTGTATGTACAGCCCTCCCTGCTCGTGCAGCTGCCTCTCGATCCGCAGCAGCTGCTCCCGATCCAGCGCCTGGTGGCTGTACACCAGGGCTTCATAGCACTTGACCTTCTCCTCGGCACCCAGCTGCAGCGCTAGGCGAAGCGCTTTGCTGCTGGCGTGAAACTGCAGCTGCTGCGCAGTAACTGCAGCAGCCAGAGGGATCTCTGCTGAAACTCTCGCCACGCCGCTCAAGTCGCTGAGCATAGTCTCCCCTAGAGGCAACTCTGAGCCTGCGCACAAATGCAAGCCGCCTGCTCTTTCGCCCTCGCTGTTGCTGCTGCTTCCTGGTAGCACCCGCAGCAAGTCCTCTGGCAGCAGCAGCGGCTGCTGCTGCTGCTGCTGCTGCTGCTGCTGCTGCTGCTGCTGCTGCTGCTGCTGCTGCTGCTGCTGCTGCTGCTGCTGCTGCTGCTGCTGCTGCTGCTGCTGCTGCTGCTGCTGCTGCTGCTGCTG